TCTAGTAGCTGTCGTTGTGATCTTAACATGTGTGCCTTGTCCGGAGATACCATGTGATGATTGTGCTCATTGACAGCCTTCTGAATCAACCAAACACCCGCCGGAGTAATATGAAACTGAACACGAGCTTTGCAATCTGTCCTCGTAGAAGCCCGTTCTTTCCTCGTCTCATGTGTGCTATGTTTACCCTTTACTCCTTCCTTACTGCAAACTAAATACCTAGCAGATAAGGTATCATCTGCTCTTGCTTTTCTGTGTGTCCATCTGACACTAAATCCTTTACTTTTGGCATACGCGTAATAGAACTTGTATGCCTCTTCTTCAGAATCAAAACTCATTCCCTTCTTTGGCACAATCTGCTTTGAAGATGCATTCGGATTATCCTGTTACACACATGAAATACACCAACACCATCAGCATTGTAGTATAATTATTTTAAAATCAATCGATACATATTTTATATTAAAAGATAGGTTTATATTGTATTATTTACCTTACTTACACAATTTTCTTCTCCTTTATCAACTCCCACAAACTCCAGGCCAGTATCATGGGTAAACATATTTCTCGGCGTCATAGGCTCACGGATCGACTCGCCCATTGCACTGTTTGTCGATTTACAGAATTCCATATTTTCCTCCTGGCGTTCGAACAACATAAATTCAACATTATTAATTTACATATTTTCAAGTTCAGTTCTACAACTAATGCTATATATAACAGTGGCTAGCATCGAATGTATGAACCAAGCTAGCGCAGAACTATGCACATGTATATTCTGAATACTTATGTACCCATGCATCTCACACGCACCGTGATAGGACAAGTCCTAGACCCACAGATCGCCGTCGCCGCCGCTGGCGCCGCCCTGACCGAATGCATGACGGAGCTGCTGGACGCGCCTTGACGCGTCGCCGCGGTTGACGAGTTTGTCCGGCCGGCCAGAACGATGTCTTGACGCACACCCATCATCTGTTCTTCTTGGCTTCCGGGTTGCATAAGCTTCATAGTTCACGAGTTTCAGTGTAAGCAATCAGATAGTTGCCAAGCACTGGACTAGTGCAATCACTCAGCCAGCTTGGCCGCATGGATCACTTACCGGGACTGGAAGAGTTATAGATGGATGTGGCGCCTTAGCTAACATTGGAACCACCGGCCGGGAGTTCGCCGCCGTGGAGGACTGCGGTATCACATAGCAGCTGGATGCATCTTGCTGCACGGCCGCCATGAACGTGGTGTCCGCCGGGCCAACATCATGGCATGCATCCGCCATGGACGAGCCGTCCGACAGGCCGCCGGCGACGAGCTTCTTCGGCGAGGTCATGGAAGAGAGGTCCTCGCTGCTGCGTCATGCCGCTTGGCCGCCGCCGTCGAGGCCCTTGGGCGTGACCGCCATAGACGCGAGGAAAATAAAGAAAACCCTAGTCCCAGGTACCTATTAGAGCGATGAAGGATGTACGTACGTACGTACGTGGGGTTCTGGAATCGGAAATCAACTGTTGGGATTGAGATCAGACGTGAAGTGGGATTAGGGTGCTCTGAGATTGTTGATGCCACATGTCGCTCATCCGATAGGGTCTCACAAGCTGGTCTATGAGACCCGGTCTCATACAATTTTTTTCCAGTGACCATGGAGCATGTTCAGGGACACTGCGACTCCTGCGCATATGTGCAGATCGGCTACCACGCCGGTCATGAAGCCAGCTTCTTCCCACGCGCGTACACGAGAGCAGCACCGATCTTCTAAAAGAGCCGGTTTCTCCAACAACCTTGATCCAAATCACGGGAGTTATTCAATCTCCTGCATCAGCACCTGAGTTGGCTTCTGCCACGCACCATCCATGCATGTGCGCTACTCGTGCGACTCCACCACGAGCGGTTCAAGCCGACTACACCGAGTCACGCGACTCATCATCTGCACGCCGTAGGGACCACGGGAGGGCAAAGTTCTGTACGCGGACATCGCCGACCCGGCCTGCAACTGCATCGACATCTGCATCGAGCGATATTCGCCGACCCGACTGCAACTGCGTCGACATCTGCACCGAGCGATCTTCACCGACCCCTCCTACATCAACAAGCTGTACGACTATGATCAGGCTACAAGCCAACATACTTCATCTTCGACAGCAAGGCATCAACAGACGTCGCGAGCGAGGGACGCCTTCAAGCGACACACTACTTCACGCCTGCTGTTTGTTCACGGACAGATCATCGTCAAGTTCTTCATCAATGTGGTCTTCACCAACATCATCATCAATACACCGTCGCCGCCTCGTCCACAAGATGGACAACTAGCGTCCTCTGACAGTTTTTTCTGCAAGACGCGACCTCGACGACGGCAATGACTGCGTCATTACGACGGCATCGACTGAGTCATCCATGAAGGCAAGACTGCATTGACACGGCGTAACTATAATGACGAACCCTACATGGCCACACGGTTCTGACAAAACCGATGTGTGCTCGATGGGCTTCCTTCGGTCTTGGCAAAATCGATGGACTCATCGCCGACGGCACCCTCTGACATCCGCAAGGTGCATCGTCCACGTCTGCAGCTTCGTCATAGCGCATTTTTTTGCGCCTCCGGCTTTGTGCGGCTTCATCGTCCACGACGACCACATCATCGACCACGACTACCTCGACCACGGCTACATCACCATGATCGGCTACCTCGACATTAATGGCTACGTCTGCAGCAACTCATCGGCAACAATTCCAGTCAACAGCGTCCGCCTCGTCACTTGCGTCCACGATACTCCCGTTGTGAATGCGGGAGGGAATAGAGGAGAAGACAGGGAAGACACCGCCCTAGGTGCCGACCCATGACCCATCAGAGACGCAGTTGATAATGGCGCAACGGAGAAGACAACGAAAGCACAAGACTTCAAATTCAGTCGTAATCGTCCGCTTCACTCCCGCTACGACTTAGGGGGAACGTTGGAAGTATATTTACGTTTGAGATAGAGATAAAAGATAGAGATAGGATAGGTTTGAACCATGTGTAACTTGTCCTCTACTCCAAGTCTTTCTTCCTCCATTGTACCTCTATATATACCCTATACATGGGTCAGATCAAACAACAGCATACACAACACAATATTCATCCATCCTATATTTTTCAACAGTGTGATGCTAATATAGCTAGTCCCGGAGATGTTTCCAATGAGATTCACCATCTAGCTCTTCCACTTTTACCTCAGGTTCTTCCAGGGCCAATTAAAGAAAATGAAACAGTAAAGGAGTTTGGATCTGAAGTGCCAGTTTGTAAGCCTATGTCTTCAAATCCATAATATTGAAGAACAGAAGGGTACTCACCTTGTTTCCTTGGCATCTGGTGATAATAGAGAAGAACAATCATGTCCATCTCCAGCGACAGTGTCAGGTTGCTCAGAAAATCAGACGCCGGATAGCGCAGTTAAAAAAGAGCCAAGCAATGTGTTAGGGTACTATAATGGCATCACATTGCCTCACCCTCACGGACCTGCTTTGGTGTTTCCCTGGAGTCCTGGATGGAACAGTATTGCTGTGATGGCAGCTGCTCAGTGCTCAACAGAGTCCATTCAAGGGTTGGGTCTGCCACCGTGGGCGCCTCCATTGATGATGGCAGCTCCAGGAATTTGCACACCTGTTGTTCCCTTTCCTATGATGCCACCACCACTTTGGAGCTGCATTCCTGGTTGGCCTAATGGACTTTGGAGTTCACCATGTCCTGGAAGTAATGGCCCTCCAAACAAAATCACATGCTCAGAGGACAATTCTCCTACACTTGGAAAGCATTCAAGAGAAGCAGACCTGCAAGAAGAGAATAGGGAAAACAACGTACAGGTCCCTAAAACTCTTAAGAATTGATGACCCAGCTAAGGCCACAAAGAGTTCGGTCCGGGATACTCTAGGCATCAAACCTGATGAGAAAGGCATGGACAAGACACCAGACTCTACACAGGCTCTGCAGGCCAATCCAGCGGCCTTTTCGCGCTCTCAGTCATTTCAGGAGAGGACTTGAGAAGCTTGATCTTTTGTTTCTAACCAATGCCATCAGCCACCAATGAGTGTTGTCCAAAGGAAGGGGGATATGCCCAGTATGGTCAGTGTTTTTTGCAGGGCATCGTCTTGAGTTTATATGTTCCTAGACTGCAAGCACTCCTACAGCCAACTCAAATCAATTAAAGATCTACCGAGTGCTCAACTTTTTGTTCAGCCATTGTGTAGGTTGGTCAGATGGTTCTGCTTCTTCAGGGAGTATATTTATGTAAAACATGCAGCGAGTTTTCTAAGCACTGGTCAAGTTTGGAAAGTGGCATGGTGCATCGAAATGGTCAGCCAAACATAGAGAACTATGGCCTGCTGGAATACAGAGCGTGCTCCATCTGCAAGCATGAGACCTATAGCCCATACATTGATGGAGCCAAAATGTTAATTATGATGTTCTCTTCCGTTTTAGGAGGATTGATGCTCTGATGTGCGTATGTAGCTAACATGTTCTCAAGTTTATGAAATGATTGTTATGCCAACCTTCTCCAAATGCTTAATTCCGGAACCGAAATGGAACCAACTCTGTTTGATGTAGACAAATCTGAATATAGTATGTGATGTGAACCATGGGTGCTCATATGCCCATTGTATGCTCAACATGTCTAAGTGAGTTTATAAAAAAAGGGTTAGACCAGTACGAGCAACAATGGCACTAAACATATGAGCAACAATACATATTTCAGATAGAAGAATTAGTGATAATATACATCGCAGTGTTCACCCATTCACCTTATGACTCATGGTGGACACCACACACCAGGGCACAAATTCTTGGCCGTCAACAATTTCTATTTCCTTTTCAGTAAATGCTAGATAGAATACATACATACATACACACACCCTGGAGGCTAAATCTATTGCCATTAACAAATGAATGGCCCGTATACACACTGAAAGGGCGGAAACGGACAAAAGAAACAGAATATAAGAAAGAATAGTAACACTATGCAATTCCCCTGCAAGGGTCATGAAAACGTTCGCATTGGAATTTCCGAACGATTCACCTGATTTAAAGCCTCAAACTTCTCTATTTCTCGGCCGATTTGAATATCACTGGGAACAAAATGCTCCGTGAAAGCCTTGATTGCAAAATGTGGGACCATTGCTGTGACAACAATGATAAGCAGCAGTAACCAAAACAAGCCTTGCCCCATTATGTGATAGATGGCCCTGAAATTAGTGTTTGGTGTCAGTTGGTTGCATCTATTATAGATAATCATAAACAAGAGCAACAGGTTTGCACTTATCAGAAATCCTACTCAAGAAAACATGGGCAAATAGCTCATTTTACTTGTAAGAAGACCAGAGATGCTTGCAAAGAAAAAGACAGCGTTTAATCTATGTATTCTAAAAGAATTATAGTGCAAAGGAAATAAACAAAATGTTATGCTGGAATGAAACAAAAGAGCAAGGGCCATGCGCATGGGTGAGATGCTGCCTGTTGATTTATTATCACAAGGGACATCTCGAATCAAGGTTTATTTCGTTTCTTCGGAGAACTCATCCCTTATAATACAAACACATGTTGCAGGAAACTTGCTATTGTATATGTCCGATGGAGAAAACAGTCAGAATACCTTTAAAGGTTTTAAAGACTACTGCATCTTTTTTGTCAACTTCACAGCTATTGCACGGAATACAAAAATAATGGCATCAGTAATAAGATGAGAGAGGTGAAGCACTTACCCATAACCAGGAAGAACCCATATCGAATCTATCACAAAGAGACAAATCACTGTTGCTGCTATCGTCCCCCATACGAACGCATGTATAATCCAATTCCACCGAATGATGTCCATGGCCAATTGCATATTTACAACGATGACTGATGCAAGTGCCCACAAATCTCCAAGACTAGACATGCCTATAGTACTTTGTCGATATGCAAAATACGGTATGTAGAACACAACCAAACTCTGCCAAAGTGCTTCAAGCATATTGAGGACAAACAAATTCAAATTATACTTCTCATTCCGTTGGCCAGATCCATAAAGCTTTGGGTAAGCTAGCAGTGTTGACTTGCTAAGATCCTTGTCAAGAATACCAACAACAATTGTTGGAAGGGATGTATAAAGCACAGTATACAGGAGACTACTCCATTCGGTGATAGCAGTCGTCAAAGTGAATGATGTATAAAGCACATACCTGCGATCACATCATAAGCATTATTTTGGGGGGGCTATATTTTTTTACTATCCACGCAAAAAATAGGAAAAATAAAGAGGTGCTCCATAAAATAGTTTTTGAATAATTCAACCAACTAAACAAAAAATTATGGTCATAATTTCTGACCATAAAATTATTATCATATCACCGCAAAAAAATATATGGTCGTAAATTTATAATGCCAGGGTACACATCTTATATGTAACACTAGAAAATTATAGGTCTCCACATTTTCCAGATTAGATTAATGATATGGATGATTTCAATAGCCGCCAAGTTGTTTTCTGACCAAAACTAGTAGTAACATTTTCCCAAGTAATGAAGTATTTATCCCCTCTAAAAAAACCTTACCAGAAAAGAACCAAGACAAATGTGGCATTCTTGTAGAAGTTGTAAAGGATCATGTAACCCATCCTTTGATAATTCCAGTGACCATGAACTAATAGAAGAGGAACCAAGAATCTGAATTGTCCCATAGAAAAATCTGATGCCATAACAGCTTGTCCTCCTTCTTGGCCACTGATACCAACCCCAACATCAGCCATTTGAATCATTGAAACATCATTTGCTCCTGAATGTCACAGGTTAAGTAAACAGTATTATTAATGCACACGTTGTCTCCTAAATAAAAATGTAACATAATAGATGAAGCAGGAGGGTATACCATCACCAATTGCTAAGGTCATATCATCTGTCCTGTTTTTGATAAGTGCAACTATGCCTGCCTTTTGTAGAGGAGCCACTCGACAACATAAGACAACACTACATTCTGTTGCTACTTTGAAAAGCTATCACAACAAAATAAGACAGACCATGTGTCAGTTATGGCATCTTTATAAGATGATCTTATCACTGATAAGGACAAAAGAAAATTAGTACAGCATTGATAGAATTACATACGGACGAGTACTACCTCTTCTTGCAACTCTGTATCAAGTATGTAAACAAGGCTGTTACCGTCCACAATCAAAGCAAGAACTGTACCAGAAGATTCTGATGCTAACACTGGATACGGTGAGCCAATTGACGAAGCAACTCTGTGCTCCTTAGTTCTTGCAAGTGCTTCCTCGAGACTTTTCTTGCAAGACTCCTTAGAATTGTTATTTATCACAATTTGTCTCATGTCATTCGTCAGCAGCTTACAAGAGTAGCCAATAGAAATTGCTGTCTCCTGCTTATCCCCTGTTAAAATCCAAACTTTCATGCCTGCTTGCCGAAGAGATTCTATTGCTTCTGGTACCCCATCTTGAAGCTTATCTTCAATCCCAGAGGCCCCCAATATGTGGATATTGCACTCTACATTGGCTGCAATTGATCGGAGTAAATTTCCCCTGCCAAGTACTGCTGTGCTAGCCTTCTCATATGCCAACTGCCACTCCTCAAATTTAGGTTGACTCAATTCACGCATACCAACAACAAGAGTTCTTAGGCCAAGTGATGAATATTTGTGGAGATGTGCCTCTGTAGCACGAACATTGTCCAGCTCTAATGATTTGTTGATAATTCCAAACATTGAACTGTCTGCACCTTTGACATATAACTTAACAGTCTTATCAGGGCAGCTGACAATGACAGACATCCTCTTACGATCACTATCAAACTCATGAAGTCCTAATATATCAAATCTGCACATTACATACCGGCAGGATACATCAGAAATGTAAGCCAAGCATGCTAATGATCTATTGAATCAAAACTGGCACGTAAAGGATATGAGATAGTAGATTAGTACTGGCACGTACGCCAAGCGACAATTAATAAACCAGCAACAATTAATATGGATCAGAGGGAGTATTAAATTTGGGTCAAGTGTGAAATGAATCGCACCACATGTTGCAAAATATATTACTCCCTCCATATCACAAATACATTTCATTTTGAATACTGAACTGGTCTTCGAGATTTACCTTTGACCGCTAATTATGGAAAATCATTGCATTATATGAATATACTTTCGAGACAAATCCGAACATATGATTTACAAGTTCTCAATCTAAATATTTGGAATGTAGTCCATGTTTTAAAGTTTGACTTAAGACATGTCCAAAATGACTTTTTTTTTAACCGGGCATAACCCCTTTCCATTAAGCAAATAACGGAAATACAGCAGTTCCAAGTCCAGAAGCAGAGGGAAAGGGGAGAGCGAGTTCAGCATCACCGGGGAACCCACTGCAGAATGCTTGACATCGAAACACCTACTATGGGACAAAGCCCCGACGAATACAATTTGACACGCCGAATTGGTAATGGAGATAACTCCTAAAATAGATGTCAACTTGACGTGTACAGTTCCACTTGACAACTGACTCACACAGAAGAATGAAAAACAGCAAAATTGTATGGACTGTATAATTTAAATAATTTTCTAAATTGACAAACGAATTTCCTACCACTGTTCAAATTTGGAAGTTCCTCCCAGCCAAACAGTTGAAGGGCAGGCCAGGCACAGTAGTAGAGTCTCTCCACTTGTGGCCTAGAGGTCCTGGGTTTGAATCAGCCTCCTTGCAGAATTATTATGCACGGGTAAGGCTGTCTAGAAATTCCCTTCCCTAGACCCCACCTTGTGTGGGAGCTTTCAGCACTGGGTGTGGCACAAGCCCTAATGTCACGTTAATAACCTTAGGTTCTTTTTGGGTCAGAAATGACATCAGTAACATTACAAAGCAAAAGACATAAAAACATTTGTGCTAGCCGTAATCAGATGCTTGATGCTACCAACTACCAGCTGCCCCAGACTGTAGGAGACTACACAGGCAGTATGTCTGCTTATAGTTTTCGAGAGATGAAGAGATCACGGATCATAGTGTCCCTCCACTCCTAGTCACATGATAACTTTTGATATCACAAAATTTTGCATTTCAGTTAGATAGCCGGTACTAAATTCTAACGAAAACACACTCATGAATTATTGCCAAATACAATGGTCACAAAGCGAAAGTTGAGAGATATCTTACCTCTGTCTGTCACCAAGGACATCGATCACTACGTAACCAGATGTTCGCTCAACAAGCACAATGCCATAAGATGCTGCAGCATAAGCTAGTGCCTGCTCATCAGGGGACTCACCCTGATAATCAATCAACTTTTGTTTAGGATCTCTAGTGTCCAGGACAAGTGGCACAATTGTATTGCAGGCAGCAAGAGCAAGGAAGAATTCAAGGACAAGCTTTGCTTCCTCATTTGAGCTGTCATTGTTCAATAACTTCAAAAGCTGAGGGTCAGTCCTAACTGCCATTTTTGGTGTCCAAATAAGATCATCAACTGACCAAAACCAGCAAATAAGAGGTCTTATTAGGAAACAGCAACATCAAACAAGTAATATAAATTAAAGTCATCGTACCTACAACTGAGGACCCGCATGCAGGTTTGCCAGAACTGTAATCAACTCCGTGAATGGATGCACACATGAACTCCATCTTGTTCTCTGTCAGCGTCCCTGTCTTATCAGAGAAAACATACTTAATCTGCCCCAAATCCTCATTTATATTCAGAGCCCTGCACTGGAACCTGGACCTTGACGATTCGTCATACAAGTCATTGTCGGCGCCCATGAAATATGCTTGCCCAAGTCGTACCAACTCCATTGATATATACAATGAGATAGGAATAATGACCTGATACACTATGACGGCCATGAGGAATGTAACGAATATCTGCATTCCGATTCCATAGTAATTGTAGTTCTTCCCGGTTGTGTAATCCTTTTCTCTAAAGAACTGGGTGAACTCAAGCTCCCGCTGGTGGTTCAGCAGCCAAATCCCTGCGAGCACAGATGCAGTTATGCACATCCCAATGAGCATAATGGACAATATGACTGTCTCCCGATTCAACTGCGTCTCCAAGAGGCTACGCTTGGATGGCGGCCCAGAGTTGTTGAGCATGACCTTAGTCTCCTTTCCGGCATAAACCACGACCCCTATTGCCCATGTGGTATTCTTGAGCTCACAACCACGGAGCACAATGTTGGACGGTCCGAGTGAGACACGCTTGCCGTCGATCTCCAAATTCGCCTGGAACCCATAAATGTTCCTGTTGGGCCGCTCGCAATGCAGCATACCAGCTACGTGGCCGTCGTGAGAGAACCTCAGCTGCGTCTCCTGCTTGGCATACCTCGTCTTGAGGTTGATCTCCCCGTCAAGATTGACGGTCTGGACGTGCGCGAGGCCAGTGGGGTCACTAGTGGCGAGCAGTACCATGTCGGCGGGGAGCGTCTCGTTGGACGCGACGCGCACGACGTCCCCGACGCGTATGTGCTTCCATTTCTTGGGGAGGTACTCGCCGGCGGTTTGTGGCGCGAGGACGGCGGCGAGGCGGTTGTTCTCCCTGCGGTCGGAGCGGTGGCGGCGGATGTCCTCGTAGGCGTCCTTCACAGCGGTGACGAAGAGCACGAAGGCCAGCGGGAGCACAGACGCGCCACGGCCAAAGACGGCGACCTGGGGGAGCTGGTTGAGCACGGTGATGGCGAGGAAGTAGACGTACGACAGCCGTCGGAACTGCTCGAACAGGTTGCGCGGCAGGAAGGTGAGCGCGGAGTACTTGGCCGTCCGGACAGCGTTGCCGGCAAACTCCGGCGAGGGCTCCCCCACGGCGACGTCGCGGTATTCACCCCCCTCGTGGAGCTCCCGCTCCGACGCGGACGGGTCGGGCTGGTCGCGACGGGAGGGGCGGAAGGGGTCCGGGACCTCAACGGAGAAGCCCAGGTGGTCAGCGCGAACGGGAGGCTCCGGCTGCGACGGCGGGAGTTGCGACGCCGCCGCCGGCGGGTGCGGGGAGGCGGCGTCGATGAGCGGGCGCTCGGACGTCATGGGGGAGGTGGCCAGAACTAGCGGGTGGTCAGAGCCATGGGCGGGGCGGGGCGAGGCGGATTTGGGTGGACGCCGGCGAGGTCAAAGCTGGCGGTGAGGTGAGGAACTTGGAGAAGAAGGGGAGCCTTTACGGGTTCGAGAGTTTTCCGTTTGGGGGCTGGGGCGCGATTTGGGGAGAGACGAGCGGGTTGGTGGCAAATTTGGACGAGCTTCTCCTCTAATTGCCAGATTTCAAAATTCCAATCTCTCAAATTTCCGTCATGTAAATATTTTCAATCTATTCATCACATTAATTGTCATGGCAGTAAATAAACACATGAAGAAACAGAAATTGCATCCAAATTCGTAGACACCTAGCGACAACTACAATGAAGCAAGTTGAAAGCGCGCAGCTTCGGAATCAGACAAACCTTGTCGTAGCAGACAGTCGAAAAGTCATAGTGTTAGGTGCGTCTTGTTAGAATATATTGTACGTATATACGGTTAGTTATAAACCGTATATACATTAACTTGCGTGAGTTGTAATCAGGTAGTTAGGCCGGCGGCTGATCTTTATTTTGTGCATAGCTAACTTGAGGATCAAGCCATAACCTAACTACCGAATCTGTAAATCCTAGGCTCTGGCTATGTATAACATGCAATGTGTCCCTGCTAGGCATATGCTTCACGTCATCTTTCATGGTATTCAGAGCCTATCTCCTCTAAGCACATCTCCCGTAGCCATGGCCTCCTCAAGCTCCGTTGTCGCCGCACCCGCCCCTATCCCCATCGTCGATCGACTCCACCGCTCCAACTTCCTGGTGTGGCGCGCGCAAGCCATGGCGCCCATCCGTGGTGCGCAGCTCATCTCCTACCTCGATCCAGAGAAGGAGCAGCCGACGCAGAAGCTCACCGACAAGGACGGCAAGCCCACGGACGTGCCCAACCCTGCGTACGACGTCGACAAGGCTCGAGACTCTCAGGTGCTGAGCTTCATCTTCAACTCCATCTCAGCTCCTGTCATGGTCCAGGTTGCACAATGTGACACGGCGACCGAAGCATTGGCCGCCATCACGAATATCTTTATCTCCCAAACCCAAGCACACGTCATCAACACGAGAATCGCCCTCTCCATGACCAAGAAGTGCAACTCGACGATGGCTGAGTACATCGGGCGTATGAAGGCGTTCGGTGACGAGATGACATCGGTGGGCAAGCCGCTCACCGACGACGACATGGTGTCCTACATCCTTGCGAGACTCAACTACGACTGCATGTCCTTTGTCTCCACGATTTGTGCCCGAACTCAGCAAATCAAGGTGAGCGAGCTTTACTCGCAGCTGATCAGCTTTGAAAGCAGATTGGCTATGTTCGAGGGCGGCAGACAGTCCTCCCACTCCTTTGCTGACGTCGTCTCTCATGGCGGGTGTGGCAGATCCAACCGTGGTAGAGGCCGCTGTGGTAACAGCGGTCGCAATGGAGGCGGCCGAGGCAACGACGGTGGCGGTCGTGGTCACGGCGGCAGCCGCGACAATGGAGGAGGTCGCAATGATCTCCCCGAAGTCTTCTAGCAAATCTGCACCAAGCCTAATCACACCGCCACGGATTGCTATCGCCGCTTTGACATCTCCTTCAACAAGGAGAAAAGCGCAGCATCTTTCAACACCAACTCCTCCTATGGGGTGGATACAAACTGGTATGTGGACTCAGGAGCAACAGACCACATCACCAGCGAGCTCGACAAACTCACCGTCCGGGACAAGTACAATGGACACGATCAAGTAAACGTGCCAAACGATGCAGGTATGAAGATTTCCCATATGGCTCATGCCTATGTTCGTACCCCTACTCATAATCTTCATCTTAAAAATATCTTGCATGTGCCCAAAGCCACCCAAAACTTGATCTCTACTCATCACTTATCCTATCCTATGACAACCATGTATTTCTTGAAACTCATCCCCATTTTTTCTATGTCAAGGACAAGGCAACGAGGAAAACCCTCCTCCACGGCAGGTGTAGAAACGAGCTCTACCCCCTATCATCAGCTCCCATAAGCTCGGGCACACATGCACTTGGCACCACCAAGATCTCTCCGTTGCGGTGGCACAATCGCTTAGGACATCCATCCTCGGCAATAGTTTAGCATGTTCTTAGGAACAATAAAATTTTCTTTTCTAGCAATGAGTTGAATAAAGAGGCATTGTGTGATGAGTTGAATAAAGAGGCATTGTGTGATGCTTGTCAACAAGGCAAGAGCCATCAACTTCCCTATCCGAATTCTAGTAGTATTTCGAATGCTCCTTTAGAGCTAGTTTTCTCTGATATATGGGGGACTTCCCGAAATTCAACTAATAAGAAAATTATTATGTGAGTTTCATCGATGATTTCAGTAAATTCGCGTGGATATATATCCTTAAGCATAGATCAGAAGTCTTCAAGTTGTTTCATGAGTTTCAAGCACTAGTTGAATGACTTTTTGATCGCAAGATTATCACAATGCAGACAGATTGGGGTGGCGAGTATGAGCGCCTCAACTCCTTCTTTCGTCAAATAGGGATTACACATCACGTGTCATGTCCTCATGCCCATCAACAGAATGGGTCAGCCGAGAGGAAACATCGGCAGATTGTAGATGTGGGTCTCTCTCTTTTAGCTCATGCTTCCATGCCCTTAAAGTTTTGGGATGAAGCTTTTCTAGCTGCCACATATCTTATCAACCGCACTCCTAGCAAAGTGATCAATCTTGACACTCCCTTGGAAAAATTGTTCCATGAAAAACCCAAATACCACGCTCTACGCACTTTTGGTTGTGCATGTTGGTCAAATCTTCAACCCTTTCATTCTAAGAAGCTAGAATTTTGTTCTAAACAATGCGTTTTTCTTGGCTATAGCAATCCCCACAAAGGGTTTGAGTGTCTTGATGTAAAAGAAGGTTGTGTTTATATTTCTCGAGATGTCATCTTTGATGAAACAGTCTTTCCTTTTGCCTCGCTCAATCCAAATGCCGGCGTTCCTCTTTGGTCTGAAGTTCTTCTTCTTTCTAAAACTGCTCCATCCGAACCTCTTGATCATGGGGAGGAACAGATGGTTGATCCTTCGGTTAATCTTCATAAAAATCCTGCTGTAAATTTTGGTGGAAACCCTGTTGTGTACCATGATTTTATGCAGTAGCAGACAGGTGCAGAACACAACTCTGATTCAGGTGCTGAGCCAGATTCAGAAAGCGGCAATCCCCGGACAGCAGGATCTGCAACACATCAGCCTCGGGCGGGGGCGATCCAGTCTCCCACAACACGCGTCTCCCGCGGGCCCATGGGCGAAGGCGCTATAGCGCACTCCGGGTCAGGTGGATTCGGCGGCAGCGAGGCGCCTCTCTCCAACTGCCAAGCGGCGCGTTCTCCCCCACACAACCGAATCGTCCAACCAGGCGCCTCGCATGTGCGCGACAACATCCATCTCGAGTCCGGTGCGGAGCGACCAGGCAGGTCTTCGGCTGGCGACAAGATCCACCTCGGATCTGGTGCGGCTGGCGGATCTTCTGCAGACGCAGCGGCTGGATCTTCTGCGCCCCAATTTTCTGAAGTAATTCCTGCGTCCACACCAAGAACAAGATCTCAATACGGTATCTCAAAACTAAAAAATACATACGGATGGTACGGTCAGGTATGATAAGACACGTTTTGCTGGTCTTGCTATTACAGGAGAACCAAACACCTTGGCAAAAGCTTTAGAAAACAAAAATTGGAAACATGCAATGAATGAGGAATATAATGCTCTTATTAAAAATAAATCTTGGCATCTAGTTCCTCTAGCAAAAGGGAGAAACTTAATTGACTGTAAATGGGTGTACAAAATTAAGAGAAAGGTAAATGGAGAAATAGATAGTGTAAGGGCATATTTATCCCCAAGATGTTTTGGTGATTGATGACAATGCTTGTGCGGACTAATCGTGTGCGTTTAGTTCTTTCAGAGATTCATCCATTGGCACGAGACGATTTCCTCCCCTCGATGTTGTATTCAAGACGGTGTAGCTCCTTCGTTTCGTTGTTGGTGGACTAGTTTCGTAGGAGTCACCGTACTATCAAGAGGGGATCCGCTTTGGTAAGACTTGGGTGGAATCACACGTACACATCCTTATCACACCCGTCGTCTTTCCTTCCGCCTCTCTGGAGCTGCCGTTTTCCCCTTGCCATGATTTGCTCTGCCCCAGCGGTAGTACCGCTCTCAGAGCGGTAGTACTGCTCCAAGCGGTAGTACCGCTCTCCGAACGGTAGTACCGCTTGGGGTTTTCGGCCGTAGTGCCGCTGTGCATCTGGGCTACTTCCGCCTCGATTCTCGAACGAAGTTTTTTGTGTCGGGTTTTGCGGCACTAAGGGAGGTAGTAGGAGCGGTAGTACCGCTCTTCCCTAGCGGTAGTACCGCCCTGGGGTCAGGGCCTTGGCAGCGCGGCAGTACCGCTGGGTTGAGCGGTAGTACCGCCCGGAGCGGTAGTACCGCCCGGAGCGGTAGTACTGCCCTTCCCTAGTGGTAGTACCGCTCTGTGCGGGGCTGGTGAGTGGGATAACGGTTGGTTTGTGCCCCCACTATATAAAGGGGTCTTCTTCCCCAAAGTTGACCTACCTCTTTCCCCCAAAGCTCCATTGTTGCTCCAAGCTCCATTTTCGCCCGATCTCTCTCCCTAGCCAATCAAACTTGTTGATTTGCTCGGGATTGGTTGAGAAGGCCCAGATCTACACTTCCACCAAGAGAAATTTGATTCCCCTCACTTATCCCTAGCGGATCTTGTTACTATTGGGTGTTGAGCACCCTAGACGGTTGAGGTCACCTCGAAGCCATACTCCATTGTGGTGAAGCTTCGTGGTGTTGTTGGGAGCCTCCAAGTGTTGTGGAGATAGCCCCAATCTTGTTTGTAAAGGTCCGGTTGCCGCCTTCAAGGGCTCCAATACTGGAATCACGACATCTCGCATTGTGTGAGGGCGTGAGGAGATTATGGTAGCCCTAGTGGCTTCTTGGGGAGC